GAGGCCAGGAGGAGGGCGGCCCCGAGGACAGGGCCTGCTAGGGGCAGTGACTTCAGAATGACAGAACAGAGGCAGCCCCCACTTCAGGGGAGAGGACAGCCAGCCTCCGCGACTGCACCCCAGCTGTGAGCCCCGTGCCCACCAGGGAGGGCAGTGGTTGTGAGGGGTCGAGGAGGTCTGAAGCCTTTCTGCAGGGGGTCCGCGCAAGCTGGGACTCCAGCAGCTCTTCAAGGGGGACTGTGAGGTCGGCTTTTCCTGCAGGAGGATGGGCTGTGGGCCACAGTGAGGGGCGGGCTGTGGGCAGGGGGTGGAAGGGGCAGGGCGCCGCTGGGGACCACAGACTCCTGGAAGAACCGCTTCCCGCACCGGGGCTCAGTGTGGCTCCAAGCCCTGAGTCGACCACACTGAGGACAGTGTCGCTCTGGAGCCCGTTGCACGCAGGCTCCTTTCGTGAAGTCCAGTCAGCTCACACCAAAACGCGCTCTCCTTGGTCTCATCCTCCTGCAGTGGACTTTGCCTTGTTGATGGTGTTTATTTTTGAACGATTTTGCAAAATGAAAAACAGGTGGTATTTAAATCCCTTCCATCTGGTGGTTTCAATGACGATGTGGTTCATTGGCCGTCTTCTGCCAGGGCTGGTGTTTCAGCAATGGCAGTCGTGGGCAGCCTCACGGGTGGTCAGAACCTCCAGGCCCCCGAGACCTCTGGCTCCTGCTGCAGCTTAGCGATGGCAAACTGCTGGGGGAGGGTCGCATACAGGAGCTGCAGGCAGAGTCTACCTCCATGGAAGCAAACCTGGGAAAGCCGACGTAGACCATCACAGGATTTGCACGCAATGCCGGCGTGTCCGAGGGGGCCTGTCAGACACTGCTGCACGCAGGCTGCCCCAAGCTGAGACTTTATCTTCCTGGCACAGTGTCTGGAGGACAGCCCAGCCTCAGTGCAGCTCCCTACCTGACAGCGGGTGGATGCCGACCACTCACTGGGCCTGAGCCTCACTTGTCTTCATGGAGGCGGGGAGAATGGGTCCCCATGCTGGGAGCAGAGCAGGCGCCAGGAGCCATGTGCCCCTGTGCCTGGGCCTCCCACACGGGAGCTGCTGGCCACCTGTGGTTGTCTAGATGAAAAAATTAAAATGTCATTTCCTTAGTCATGTGGGCCACTTCTCAAGTGCTTAGAAGCCTCAGATGGCTGGTGGCTACCCTGTGGACAGTGCAGACCTAGAACATTCTGCCGTCAAGGAAAGTCCCAGTGGACAGCACATTTCCACGTCAGTAATGCAGGTGTCCATGGAGCCGTGTTTATAGGCTGTTCTGCTGCCTGGGCAGCCCCTCCACACATGGCTGCTCTTGGATCCTGGCTTCTGAGGACAGTGGCCGTGGACACGACCCCCTGGTCACCCTGCATCAGGCTCCATCCACCCCCGTAGCCCCATCCACTCTTGGGAACACGGGTGTTGACAAAATCCCCTGGAGAGGGTTTGTGGGCACTGAGGCATTCCAGAACTCGGAGGGTCCCCCTGCGTGGTCAGGATGTGCCTGCTGTCTGTAGAGCAGCTCACGCAGACCTGCCATGGGTCAGTGTTTCAGGGCCTCAGTTTAAATAGTTGACATTTGTCAGCCTCACTCCCCGTGTTACTCAACTACAGATAGATTCCTTGAGAAGGACTGTTTTGGCATATTCACGGTAAATCTATGTGAACTGAAATTCACACAACACATGGGAGGTGGAGAAGAATTCAGGAGAGAAGGGCGTAGTGTCTGGGCCACTCCCTGTGGGGAGCACAGACGTGGACCACAGGCTGACTTGGACCGGCCAGGTCTGGATCCAGTACTGAGGATTCTCTGACTTCAGCTGGTTTTCCCCCGGCCTGACCTGACAGAGGTTTCTCACAAATTAAAAGGGCATTAGCTGCCTGGAGCAGTAAGTGTGGGTGACTGGCAGGCACAATTGAGGCCTGTTGGCTACTGGCTTTAACTGGATAAATGGCTGGTGGGTGCTGGGGAGCAGACAGACAAAACCGTGGTCGGAAGGTGGGTGGGACAGCCACAACTGCAGACAGACAGACGTGGGGGATGAACCGAAGCCATCACCATCCACCTAAACACTGAAAGCAAAGGCTGTTTCAACAGCAGGAGAGGCCAGACGCAGCACCCAGGCCTGGAGTGTGAGGGGGACCAGGGCACTGCTCTGCAGCCTAGGGGACACCTGCATGTGGCCATGCACACGTGGTCGCGGAGGTGCCCAGAACCTGGGGGAAAAAAGGACAAGGACCCAAGCCCCACAGTGTGGAAGGAAGGAGACCCCGGGAGCTTGCAGCCTGGAGGAACCAACGGAAACGAGGGTCTCAGTGAACACAGCCCCCTCCCAGCGCTCGCTCCCGAGGACACAGTCAGTTCCTAGACTGAGTCATAAAGTGAAGTTCAGACAGTGGCAGGTGAGGGCTCGGGTGACGACCACTGGATGTCCCTGCAGCTCGGATCAGAGGCGGGCGGTGGTGAGAGAAACCAGGGCAGGGATGGGGGCCGGCAGCTGGTCACCAGGGGCGGGCCCTCGATGAGACGGGCAGTGGCCTGTGTCCAGAGCTCTGCTGGTTTCCCCTGCACACATCTGGCCAGGCCTGGCCTCCTCTCACGCTGACCGGGGGTGAGCATGGGCTGTCCCTGACCCGGGATGGCACTGCCTGCCAGAGAAGCCCAGGCCAGGCTGCCCCACCCCTGGGGTCCAGCCCAAACTTGCCACAAGCCTGGTGCTTCTGGTATTTTCTCTCGTCTCAAAAGTGATGCTGCCCATGGCCAGGAGGCCGGAGGGCTGCACCTGCCTGCCCCAGCAGGACACGTGGCTTAAACCTGACCTCGCGTGTCCAGCGCACAGGAGAGAGGAGCCGTTCCTGCCCTGAAATGTGGACAACATGGAGACAGCACAAGATTCCCACTGAAAGGTGCAGCGGGAGTGGCTGAGACCACTGTGGTGGGGGTCCCTGGGGCAGGTGGGGCACCAGGAGTGAGAGACACCCTGGGCAGGGGGCTGGGAGCCCAACACACCATCTGTCACCAGGAGTGATCCTCTGCTTGACCAAGGGCCTCACCGCCCGTGGCGCTCCTGAGGCTGCAGTGAGTGACGCCACCCCCCGGGACTCACCGGGCTCTGGGCCTCGAGCTCTGGGGACCCGCCGGCCTTCTGCCTCCCCAGGTCCTTCGCGTAGCTGTAGACGTCTGCCCCGAAGCAGTCGGCCTCGTAGAAGGCGCTGCACCAGCCAGGGCTGCAGCTCTGGAACTCCGCTGGGCTGGGGGCCACGGCTGGGATGCCCTTGTCGGGCCTGGCCAGATGGGCCACCGCCTCCGCGTCTGAGACCCTGCCGGCCGGCTCGGGACCCCCGCCCTGCTGCCCGGCCCCTCCAGCCTGGGGCGGCTGCTCTGTGGCAGCTTTGATTGACTTCTGAGGCCGAAATCCCACCTCAAAGTTTCCCCGTGAGAGCTCATCTGAGTCTATGTCTGACAGTGACGGAGGCGAGCAGGGCGCTCTGCTGCCCCGGGCCGCGGCTGGCTTCTCTCTCCCTTGAAAGAAGGAGGCGAGGGTTACGGGCAGCAGCTGCACTTGGTGTGTTCTAGGGAGGCCCCTTGCTCATGGTGGGGCCACTCACGCCTGGCGGGGACACCACATGTCCCCTTCTGCTCTCGAGAGGCCCACAGGGGTCCCTAACCTCTGCTGCATGTCTGGGTGGAGGTGACAGTGGAGACTTGTGGGTTGAAGGATGGTTCTGACCCTTCCTAGACACAGGTCTCCTTGGGGCATTTTCATTGTCAAATGGCAGAGTGGGACCCCATCTTCCCCACCAACACTGACTCCCCCCTTCCTTGGGGCCCCTCCGTCTCTTCTGGAATATTTGAGAACAGGTACAGCTGTGCCATGTCACACACCAGCCCCTCAGTGGCACTCTGGGCTCCATCAATGCTGGAAGCTTCCGTCTGGTGCGGGCACCACTCCCGGTCACCCAGGGGCATGCAGACCTCGAGCCCAGGGCCTGCTCGCTGTTCCCTAATTTGCTTAAATACGAGAGAACTTCAAAAAGTTCATGGAAAGATTCGTATTATCTTTTAATTCTATTTTTCCACAAACTTTGAAGTGCCCTCCTGGGGACCAAAGCCCACCACCAGTGTTTGGTTACTGGCTGGCAGGCAGATCTGGGGTGACCACGCCCGCCCCTCCTAAACCCTGAAGTTGGCCACTCTGCCAAGCTGCTTGGACTGCCTGAGACTGGGTTTCAGGAAATTACAAACTTTTCAGTTGACCTGGGAATCGTGGGCTAACAATCCAGCAAAAGCAGCTTCAGGATCTTTAAATGACATGTTTCCAGGGAAGAAGCAAAGACTCCCCAGCCCTGGCTCCCTGTGGCTCCCCCAGTCTGGGACCGACAGCTCCAGCCCCAAGGCCCTCTTCCTGCTGGCTGCCCCGTGTGGGGCAGGGGGAGAAAACCTTCCCTTCACAGGACAGACCCCTAGGATTGGACAGCCAAGCCCTGGGATCTCGGGGTACCCCCAGGGAAACAGTGACAACAGTTGGAGAAGCCCTTCCTGAAAACTGCCTGGAGAAGCCAACAGGGACCCGGGGACCCCTCCCTTAACCCCTCCCCCACCGTGGGAAGTCTGCTGTGGGCGCAGGCCCTTGTCTTACCCAGTCCGTGCAGCGAGGGCCTTTTGCTGGATGGCGAGCAGCCCCCCAGTGTGGTCTCGGGCTGGGGCCCTGCCTCCTCGGGAGCACTGGCGAGAGAACGGGTGGTCGGGAGCCCCACCCCACCACCTTCCCCTCCACTTCCTTCAGCCATGGAGGGGCCTCAGGTGGGCAGAGCAACCCCTAAGCACTGAGCCTCACATGGGGCGCACTGGGTGTGAGCTGGAGCCCCCCGCCACCGTCTTTGCTGGCACCTCCCAGGCACACAGGCTGCAGAGTGCCCTGCAGCTGTGGGCGGTCACCAAACATGGGATCCCCCAGGATGGGATCTCTGGGTCATAACTTCTTGGGGTCCTGAGATGGAATCCAGAAATAGCCCAGGACAGCCTTTCTCAATGCTGTGGAAACTTGTGGATGTTTGGGTTGGGGAGTAGGGGCTGATGGGGGTGCTTGTCTTGTGCCTCTGTTTGGAGAGCTGCCCACATGCTCTGGGCACCGTGTGGAGCAGCGAACAGAGCCCCCACCCCTGCTCCTGCTCCCAACACAAATGCACACCCCAGAAACAGCCACACCCCAGGTGGTGGTCACCATAGCGGGTCAGGGCTGCCTGGCTCTTGGGTGTCTCGGGTTGCCTCAGGCATGGCCAGGATGAGAAGTCCCTGCCCCTCACCATATTGGCCTCTGCTCTGGGAGCGGGGAAGGTGGGCCCCACGTCCAACTGTGGGCCAAGCCTGGCACCAAGGAGGGACCAGGCACATCTAGGGTGTCCATTCCTACCGGGGCAGCCATGAGGGTGAGGAGGCCTGGGGGTAGGGGTGGGGAGGCCCAGTGGGGGGTTGGGGGATGGGGAGGCCAGGGGGCATGGGTGGGCAGGGGAGCTGCCTGTCCTCCCTGCAACGGTCACCCCAGCGGCCAGTGCCATCACCTATGCCCCCACCTTCTAACATGGGAGGGGAGCCATCACCCTGCCCTGAATGTCACCTGGGGGTTGCGTGGGGAGACCAGATAGTGGTCCCTCCAGGGTTTGTGGCCACCTGCTTGGGGGCCTCCTCTCCCCTCTGGGCTCTCAAGCTGGTCTCTCTGAGCAGGGAGACCTGTGGCCACCAGTGCCCAGGCCTGCCACAGCCGCCCAGAAGCTGGTGCTAATGGGAAAGCTGTGGGGAGTGGGTGGGCTTCAGCCCAAGGAGAGGGGCCGCTGAGACTCCTGCCCTGTCCCACGCCCGGAGGGTGGCCACTGCAGGAAAGGCGAGGAGGTGGAAGCTGAGCTCAGCGGGGTCCGGGCGTGGGGCACGCACCTCTTGGAGGGTGACGTCGGCTCGTTCACCACTTTGAAGAGATTCTGCAGCAACTTCTCATTCCAGTAGAGGTCACAGAACTTCTCCGAGATGGCACCACAGAAGGTGGCGAAAGTGAGGTCTTTCAAGGCGAAAATGTACTCCCCTGGGTTTGCAGAATGGCAGAGACCAGACCAGTTAAATTCTGGGCAGGAGCATTTTTCTGGGTTTCCTCTTAGTCTTGGGCCAGAGAGGGCTGGGCTGTGGGTGGGGGGCTCCAAGACCCTCTTCCTGCCTGAGGCTCAGGTGCCTGCTCTGGGGGCCGCCCTCTGTCCCTGTGGCAGCCGGCCCCTGGGAGGCCGAGCTCTGCCCGCCGGGCTCTGTGCAGAGTCGGGCTCACTGTGGCCCCAAGTCCCCTTCACACTAATGCCTGCTGATGGGTTGTATCCTCTGTGGCCTCTCCCTGGTCCTGGGGTTTCCTCTGGGGGCGTCCTCTGGGGCCCCACGTACCCATGATCAGAGCCTCCAGCCCGTTGTCCAGGTAGCCGTCAAAGGCGAACTCCTCCTGGATCAGGCGCGTGGCCTCCTGCAGTGACGGGCAGGCCGTCCTCCTCGGGAGGCACGAGGCATCCACACTGGGTGGGCAGAGCTTGCGGTCTGCAGCCCGGGGCCTCTCAGGGAAGCTGTCTGGGGTCCGGTCACCATGCTCCCCAACAGAGCTGCCCTTGGGCTTGTCTGGACTCACCGAGGCCAGGGAGGGGCCCTGTGCGGCCGATCGGGTGCCCTGCGGCTCCCGGCCTGGGTGCTCAGTGGCCTTGCTCCTGGGTGGCTTGGATGGGTGACGTGAGCTGTGGTTGGCTGAGGTGGGCCCTGGGGGGCAGGGCCTGAGGCTCCCAGAAGGGGATTCAGGTGGGACCTGTCCGTCTAGCCCTTGCTCTGGGGGCAGCGCTGAAGCCTTCAGGGCGGGGACAGGAGAGCCAGTAGTTGCTGATGAGGCCCCCTCTGACTGGATGCCAGGGGTGGGGGGTGGAGTGCAGGAGTCCCCCTGGGCCGCGCCGTGTGGGTCCGACTCCCTGACACGTTCTGGGGTTCCTCCCTGTGGCCCTGGAGTTGGCACCGGCTGGTCAGGTGTCGTCGGGCTGGTGGTCCCAGCGGGGGACTCAGGCTCATGCTCCTTTGTGTCCTCCCTGTCTGGCGGGCGGCTCCTTTCTCCTCCCTGTGGCCCTGGAGTTGGCACCGGCTGGTCAGGTGTCGTCGGGCTGGTGGCCCCAGCGGGGGACTCAGGCTCATGCTCCTTTGTGTCCTCCCTGTCTGGCGGGCGGCTCCTTTCTGTGGGCCTCTCAGCTGGCCCTGAGGACAAGGCCAGCTGGTCCCTGTGGGAAGGACGAAGAGGGAACTCAGGAGGGGCTACCTGAGCCTGGTACCCTGCCCACCGGGGGTGGGGATGCTCACCTGGCTCCACCTGCATCCTGGGGGAGGACGATGGGCTTGAAGTGAGTGGCCTCGGAGGTGAAGGCTGCTGGCAGCCTGGGGGCTCCTTCCCAGCAGGAGGGATGGCCAGGCAGGGGCCCTGGCATGGCAACCAGCCTGGTGTCACCACTGACTGGCAGGAAGCCTGGGGACAGAGAGGCGGGGGTGGCGGGGGACTGGCAGAGGCCCTAGGGTGATTTGGCATTTCCGTGCAGGGTCTGCAGCCCTCCCTTCCCCCAAGGGCCCCTTCCCTGCGGGCTTGGCCCTGGAGCTGGAAGGTGGGGTGTGACCAGTGCTCAGGGGATGGCTGCAGTGAGGACCAGAAGGACTAGGCCCTGCTGAGAACGGGCTGCGGGGGGTGCAGGTGGGCACTGAGACATGGTGGGCTCTGCGTGTGGGGGAGACCGGCAGGAGAGAACTGGGGGGTTGCACCATGGGGCTGGGTGGAGGGAGGCCTGCGCGGGGGTGGTTTGACGAGATAGAGGCCGGGCGGCAGAGCCGGCTGGGAAGGACCGGGAGAGGCCAGGCAGGTGCAGGCGGGTTGAGCTCAGGACATGTGGCCCTGGGTTTCTGGGTGATGTCTGGTTGCGGGTGTCCACTCAGGGCTGGACTCCCAAAGACGGGGCAGCCGTGGACATGGGGTGCAGGTGCCAGCGGCGCAGGAGGGGCTGAGCGAGGGATGGTCAGGGCAGGGGCCCACCTGGGCTGGGTTCAGGAGCAGGCGCTGTGCCGGGTTTTAGTTCAACCACCGAGAAAGCATTTTGGAGACTGATGGTTTCTTCCTCCTGGTAGACCTGGGTGGGGGACGCAGACAGCCCCAGTCAAGGGGGCAGCAGAGGCTCCCGGAGTGCACGGTGGATGCCTCTCTTCCAGAGCGGCTGACACCCACGTGTGTGCCCCTGCCCACCCTGAGCCTCCGTGGAGCCTCCTGCTGGTGCTCAGGGGCCTGGCATGGAGGTTCCACGTCCTAGATTTGGAGTCGGCCTATTTCTGTTTGGAACAGGAGCCATTAGGGCGTCCTTCGCTTCCCAATTCGGCAAGGTTTTGGCAGGTTTCTAGGGAACAGGAAGATGATGTTGCAATCTGAGACCCAGAGCCCACACTCCCAGAGCTCGCTGGGGTCTATGCCCTGGAGGTGCTGGTCTGTCATCCTGGGGACCCCAGGACCTTGGGACCCCTTCTGATCCTGCTGGCCCCAGTCAGTGCACCCAGGAAGCCGACGGGCACCTTTGGAAATGCTGCCAATGACTGAGTGTCATGCTTTCTGACCCTCCTACCAACGCTAGCTGAAAAGTCCCCATGCAAGGCACGGTGGCCAACAGAGACCCTGGGTGTGGGGCTGCTGGGAGCAGATCCTTGGCGAGCTCGTTCAAGTTGATGGAAAAAGCTAAAACAGCTCTGTCCGAAGGGCAGAGTGTTATCCCCCACCTCTTCCTTGAATTCTCCGTAAATCTATGGAGAATTATACACAATGAAAAACAGGGGTGTGTGGGCAACTGGCAGGTGCAGGCTGCGCTGTGCTCTGGAGAGCACCTTACCTTACAGGTGGATGCCCTCAGGTGGGCTAAGATCTTCCCGCTGTCCATGCCTCGCTGAAGGAGGTAACCACCGCACACCTGGAAGTGGGACACAGTCCACGCGTCCGCACAGGCTGAGGTTTGGGCACCTACTCTGCCTGCTGGGTGCGGGCAGATGCCACGCTGGGGAGGGTGGCTAGAGCCCGCCCCAAGGTCCGAGTCCTGGGAGGGGAGGCCAGAAGGGGAAGGGGGAGGCTGGTGGGACCCCCAAAGGAGGTGGCTCGAGGCTGTGGACGGTGTGGGGCGTTCAGGGTGTGGGGGCCTCTCCCTGCTCCCCTCCATCAGGGCCCAAGGGCAGGGGTCAGCATGTGGCCCCAGGACACCCTGAGGAGAGGGGGCGCTCTGGGAGGAGCGTCCCTGTGGTGAGCCGGCAGAGACCCCACACTGTCTGCCCGCACAGATGGGCCACAAAATGAAACCTACTCTTCTGGCCTGCTTGAAAGCCAGGGGTCAGGCTGACTTTTCCTAGAAACAAGGACTTGCATTCTGGCCGCTCCCCCTGCCTGCCTGGCTCAGCCACAGTGGCCCTGTCCAAGGCCATTGGGGCCGTGGGTGGGGGGTCATGACAGCAGTGTGGTTACCTTGATGGCCTCAGCTGCAGATGGCCGCTCCAGGGCACTGCGTCTGGCCATGTCCAGGAGGAGGGTCTTGAGCCTGCGTGGCAGAGCCAGCTTGTGGTTGCGGGGGACGCTAAACTTGGCTGTGGTCCACAGGATGGCGGCCACACAGTACACGGAGGCCTGGGTGGAGGCAGAGAGAGGGGGATGGGGCCTGTAGGTCTATCGTGTCCACAGAAATGCCCCTGCTCGGGCTCCCCAGAGGGACCCCGAGGCACCATCTCAGAGCCTGGCAGCCCCCATCCCAGGCTCCCATTTCGGAACCCAGAGGCAGGGCCTGGGGTATGTATGTTTAACAAGCCCCCACCCCCACCTGAGTCTGCTCAGGTGTGAAAAGCCTCAGCCGGGCTGCCCTGCGTTGGGCTCTCCTCATGGCCACAGTGACGGGGAAGTTGAGGGGGACCAGCCCCAGCCCCAGCCCCAGCGTGCTGCTAAGCGGCTCACAGGTGGCTCTGCACAACCGCGTGCCTCCACGTGCACATGTGGTTCACTCCATGCTGCTGAGGCGAGGGGCGCTCCGCACGCAGCTCGTCCCCCGTGCGCTCTTTTCCGTGGGTTCTTTAGGGCCCCTGATCCTCGCTGACGGCCCGTGTTAATTGTACCAGCTTTGCCATCCAGAGTCCACCTGTGCAGGTCGGGTGCTTCCGGCGCGAATGCTGGTGATGTTTTGTTTCAGCTCGGTCGGCGAGAGGAAGGCGAGACAGGACGGGGCGTGCTGGAGCTTCCCTTGTTCTGAGCGACGCTTCGCAGCCCAGAGGACAGGTGCTGGACGCCGGGGGAGCACGTCCTCGCTGTGGGCTGCCCGCCTTCAGCAGGCTCTCGCATTTCATCCCACCGGTTACATTTCCCTGGCACTTCGTTGAAGCTGAACAAGCCACAGAACCATAAACCAAGGCCTGATGGACAGTGCTGGCCGATCTCCACGGCATAGACACCCCCCTGTGGCTGACGCCAGCTGCCAGCGTGGCGCCATGAACGTGGGGCTGGAAGAGCCGTGGAGCAGCTCACCTCTGTGTGGAGCTTCCACCACCCAGACGCAGCAGACGTGGACAGCCCGAGGGCACAGATGACAGTCAACTACCGTCCAATCCTTAGGAGATGAGTCTTGAGTACTTACTAAACGTTTAAACTTTGCTCTGTGAGGTAATTGTGGACTGACATACAGTTGTAAGAAATAAGACAGAGAGGTTCCACTGCGCCCAGTTTCCCACAATAGCAGCATCCTGCAAAACTGTACAATGTCACGGCCAGCACACTGGGGTTGACACAGCCAAGCCACAGAACATCCGCCACCCCAGGACCCTCATGAGCCCTTCACAGCCGCATGCGCCTTCCTCCCGCCCGGCCCCTCCTTAAGCCCTGGCGCTCTAGTCTGCTGTCCTAGCTACAGTTCTGTCATTTCAAGAAGGCCACACAGGTGGAATCCCACACTACGCGACCTTCCGGGGCTGCCTCTTTCCTCTCAGCATGATCTTCTGGAGATGCAGCCAGGTTGTCGCGTTGCCAGTGCTCCACTCTCTATGGCTGGGCAGGGTTCTACGGCGTGGATGTCCCACAGCTCGTGTGACCATCCATCCCTTGAGGGACACTGGGCGGTTTACAGCTTGGAGCTATTATGAATAAAGCTGCTGTAAACGTTCATACACAGGACTTTCTGTAAACATGAGTTTCATTTCTCTAGGATTAAGCCTGGGAGTGCAATATCTGGGTTGTACTGTAGTTGTGTGTTTAGTTTTTAAAGAAATTGCCAAACTGTTCTCCAGTGGCTGTGCCACTCCCCACCTGCACCAGCGCGGGTGAGACGTCCTGGTGCCTTGCATCCTCGCCAGCATTTGATGTTGTCAGTACTCGGGATTTTAGTCATTCCAGTAGGTACGTAGCGGCGTCTCACCTTATAACATGCAGTTCTGTAATGCCCGATGTGCTTATCTGCCATCTGCGTATGTCCTTTCGAGAGGTGTCTTTCCGACCTTGTGCCCCCTTCTTAACTGGCCTGTTTTTTTTCTTATTGCTAACTTTTAAGAGCTCTTTGTATATTTGGGATAAAAGTCGTTTATCAGGTGTTGTGCAGATATTTTTTCCCAGTCTGTGGCACATCTTTTTTCCCTCTTAACAGTGTCTTCTTCTGAGCAGAAATTTCTCGTTTTAATGAAGTCTAACATCACTTTTTTCTTTCATAGACGTGCTTTGGTGTTGTCTAGAAACTCGTTGCCTAGATTTCCTCCTATGTTATCTTCTAGAAGCTTTGCGGTTTTGCATGCGTCTATGATGCATTTTGACTGAATTTCTGAAAGGTTAAGGTCTGCGTCTGGATTCCTTTCTAACATTTGTCGAGCTGTTCCCGCACCACTTGTTGGGAAGGCTGTCTCTGTCGCACTGGCTTTTGTCCTTTGCCAAAGGCCAGCTGACCGTGTTTATGTGGGTCTGTTTCTGGGCTCTCTGTTCCGTTCCACTGCCTTACATTTAAGTAGTTCATTTTTTGGAGTAATTGTAAATGAATTGAATTAAAAGTTTTTTTGTCCACATATTTACTGCTAGTATCAGAAATAAAAATGATTTAAAAATTTTTTATCTTATAGCCCGTGACTTTGCAGAACTCAATTGTAAGTTCTAGGAGGGAGTGTGTGTGCGTAGATTCTTGACATTTTCTTCTTCTTCTTTTTTTTTTTTTAAGATGACTGGTAAGAGGATCTTAACCCCTGACTTGGTGTTGTCAGCACCGCGGTCTCCCAAGTGAGCCACGGGCCGGCCCTAATCTTGGGATTTTCTATGTAGACAACTGTGTCATCTGCAAACAATTTTGTTTCTTCTTTCCTGCTTTTATGCTTTTTAGTTGCTTTTCTTGCATTGTTGTAGTGGCTAGAACGTTTAGCCCCCTGCTGGATAAGATTGGTGAGAGTGGGCACCCTCACCTTGTCTCAATCTTAGGGGGAAAGTGTTCGGTCTTTAACCATTAAGTATGATGTCAGCTGTAAGGTCTTTTGTCTTGTTTTTGTTCTGGTAGATAATGCTTTGTATCAATTTGAGGAAGTTTCTTCTCTTCCTATTTTTTGGAGAGTTTTTTTATTTTTATATTTTTAATCATGAATAGCTGTTGAATTTTATCAAATGGTTTTTCTGCATTGATTAATTTGGTTATGTTTTTTTTTTTTTCTTTAGCTGGTTAATATGTTAGGCGACATTGGTTGATTTTCAAATATTGAACCAGATATGTATTCCTGGAATAAACCCCACTTTGTCATGGTGAATATTTGTTTTTATATATTGCTGACTTCTATTTGCATATATTTTGTTAAGAATTTTTGCCTTTATATTCATGAGAGATACTGATTTTTTGATACTGTCATTGATTTAGGTAGCAGGGTAATACCAGCTTCATAAAATAAATTGGGAAGTATCCCTCCCTCTTCTGTTTTCTGGAAAAGATTGTGTAGAACTGGTGTTAATTCTCCTTTAAACATTTGGTATAATTTTCTAGTAAAACCATCTGAGCCTAGAGATATATTTTAGGAGAGTTTTAAAATTATAAATTCTACTTTCTCAAGAGCTATAGGGCTGTTCCAACAATCTATTTCACATTGGGTGAGTTGTAGTAGTTTGTGTTTCTCGCAGAATTGGTCCATTTCACAGAAGTTGTCGAGTCGATGTGTAGAGTTGTTTGCAGTTTCTCTTATTAGCCTTCTGATGCCTGGAGGGTCTGTGGCCAGATCCCCTGTGTCATTCCTGATACTGGTAATTTGCGTCTTCTCTATTTTTTCCCTTTGTCAGTTTTGCTAGAAGTTCGTCAATTTTATTGCTCTTTCCCAAGAACCAAGTCTTTATCTCACTGATTTTCTCCGTTTTTCTGTTTTCAGTTGCACTGATTTCTGCTCTTATCTTTATTTGCTTGCCTCTGCTTGCTGGGGTTCTTAAGGTGGGGGCTTCTGTCACCAAGTTGAGACTTTGCCTCTTTTCTAATGTACGCATTTAGTGCTATAAATTTCCCTTTTGGTTCTGTTTTAGCTGCATCTCACAGATCTGGACGTGCCGCATGGTCATTTTCACATAGTTCGGTGTATTTTTAAAACTCTCCTTAAGACTTCCTCTTTGAGGGCCGGCCCGGTGGCGCACTGCGCTAGTGCGCCACTTGGGAGGTGCGGAGGCGCTCCTGCCGAGGGTTCGGATCCCACATACAGACCGGCTCCCGCTCACTGGCTGAGCGAGGCACGGGGGCAACACCGAGGGTTGCGATCCGTTGCCGGACACGGAAAAGGACAAAAAAAAAAAAAAAAAAAAA